CGCAACGTAGCGTGCCAGGATACTAAGAGGGTAGGCAAGGTTAGGTCGAGTGCAGGTGATCAGGTACATGAGGCAGCCCACAAGCTTTGGATACGGGCCACTTGGCTCTACGGATTCGTCCGAAGGTGGACCTGAGAGCGAATGAATGGTAGGCAGACGAGTGGACTGTGGCGAGGAGTATCGAAAACCGAAGCGCTGAAGGACCTGCTGCACCATGTGTGACTGAGTCAGGGTGATGGTGCGGCGTGCTCTGTCCCGATTGATCTGCAAGCCAAGATAGCTGCGCAGCTCAACCAGGTCAGTGCATGTGTGTCTCTTCTGCAGCTCCAACTTAACAAGGGTTAGTGCCTCAATGTCAGCAGTGGCAAAGACCAAGTCGTCGACGTACACGAGGATGTAGAACGGCGGCAGCGAAGTGTCGGTGCGTAGAAACAACGACGGGTCAGCAATCGAAGGAGCAAACCTAAGAGCCGCAAGTGTCGTCCTCAGTTTGTCGTGGCACTCGCGAGACGCCTGGCGGAGACCGTAGACTGGCCGCCGGAGGCTCCACTGGGTACCTGCAGGAAACGACCCAGTGAAGCCACGTGGGCGGCGCAGCCAGATCTCCTCGTGCAGGCTGCCCTGCAAGAAAGTTGTGCTGAAGTCAAGAGAGTGCAGCTCGTAGTCATGCTGAGCGGCGACGTGCAGCAACACCCAAAGAGTGGTCATCTTCGGGGTAGGGGAGAAGGTCTAGAAGAAGTCAACTCCCTGTCGCTGACTGAAGCCTCGTGCAACGTAACGAGCCTTGAAGACAGGCGGAGAACCCGGCGGCCGCTTCACCCTGAAAATCCACATGCCATCGACTATGTTCGCCCTAGAAGGGGGAACTGCGTCGACGTAAGTGCCTGTGGACTTCCAGGATGCCATCTCTGCATCCATGGCTGTCTGCCACTGAGAGGAGTAGGGACCCGTAATCGCCTCTGCGTAAGAGCGCGGGGTCGGGATATCTGGTGCATCCGGGTCTCCCTCAGGTGCAAGCAGCATGGCCACAAGATGAGGTACAGCAGCTGCAAGACACTCAAAGTCCTCCTGCCTGTCCTCAAGGATGTCCGTGCCAAGAGCACACTCACCCCCGACGGAAGGAGGACAGTCAGACTCAGACTCAGCAATAGGACTAGTGGCGTAGTCGAGACGACAGGCGGCAGCAAAGTCAACAAGCTCAGCAACTAGGGCAGATGCAGCAGTGGACTCAAACAAAGGGTCAGTGACAACAGTGGCTAGAAGACGAGGGACAGTAGGACTGGCAGCACGAGCTAAGTCAGACTCAGGGTTTGGACCGTCAGCAAGAGAGGACGTAGGAGGAGGCGGTAGGGGAACTCGCAGTGGAACAGAGGAAGGATGAAGTGCCATAACGTGAGTGCGAGGGACAGGAGGAGGACGCGGATGAGGAACACGATGACCAGTGCAAACAGGCGAGGCAGGACGAGACTCAAGCTTACGACGCTATGTAAAACAGTCTGTCTGCTCAGCGTAAGGAGAAGGAGGAGGTAGTGGGGAGTCTGGTTTTAACGGTGGCTGCGACTGGTGAGGCGGTGGACTCAGTGAGCTAGGAGGAATGCCAGTGGAAGACGGGAGAATAAGAACCTGGCGAAGGACCGAGTCAGGTGGTGGCAGAGACGACGGCAGTGGTGGAACGAAAAATAGTAGCCGCGGCACAGTGCCTCCAGCACCAGTACCGCCAGCTCCAGCACCTCTAGCTCCAGGGTCTCTAGCTCCAGCGCCTCCAGCTCCAGCGCCTCCAGCTCCAGTGCCTCCAGCTCCAGTGCCTCCAGCTCGAGCACCTCCAGCTCCAGTGCCTCCAGCTCCAGTGCCTCCAGCTCCAGTGCCTCCAGCTCCAGTGCCTCCAGCTCGAGCGCCTCCAGCGCCAGCACCTCCAGCTCTAGGGTCTCCAGCTCCAGCGCCTCCAGCACCAGTGTCTCCAGCTCCAGCGCCTCCAGTGTCATCTCCTCCAGCTCTAGTGCCACCAACACCACCAGCTCTGGCAGCTCCAGTACCCCTAGTACAAGCACCTCCAGGACCAGCAGCTCCAGCACCTCCGGTACCTCTAGCTCCAGTAGTAACTCCAGCACCTCTAGGACTAGAAGCTCCAGTGCCTCCAGCTCCAGCGCCTCCAGCTCCAGGGTCTCCAACACCACCAGCTCCGACAGCTCCAGTACCCCTAGTACGAGCACCTCCAGGACTAGTAGCTCCAGCACCTCCAGCTGCAGTGCCTCTAGCCGTAGAGCCTCCAGCTCCTGCAGCGCCACTCCTAAGGCGTGTGCGCTGAGCAAACCATTCGCGTAGCTGCTGCGGTGAGAGAGGCTCCCGCCGGGGAGACAGATGTGGCGAGGCACCCGCAGGACCTCCAGCAGACGGAGTACCCCGAGGCTCAGCACCCACAGACTTTGCACCCTCAGACTCAGCACCCTCAGGATCCGCACCCCCAGGCTCAGCGCCCCCAGACTCCGCACCCTCAGACTCAGCACCCTCAGACTCAGCACCCCCAGGCTTCGCGACCCCAGGCTCAGCACCCCCAGACTCCGCACCCTCAGGCTCAGCACCCCCAGGCTCCGCACTCGCAGGCTCAGCACCCCCAGACGCAGCACCTGAGTCTACAGCTACCTCGACAGGCACAGTCCCGGGGAGTGGGTCTACCTGAGACACACCTGAGGGAGCAGGACCCTGAGGAGGGAGGGGGTCTACCGGATGGGGACCTGGAGCAAGGAAGTGTGGCGGGGGGGGGGGGGAGAGGTGCAGTGCGGTAGGGGAAGAGACGGTAAAAGGGAACCGACTCGTCAAACGTGACGTCCTGAGAGGGGAGGACATGGCGCGAGGTGGGGTGGTAAAACTGCCAGCCAGGCGCGTCAGGGGGAAAGCCAAGGAAGACGCAGGGAATAGCGCAAGAGGAGTGCTTGTCCGCCGGAAGTATCGCGGACAAAGGCACGAGAGCCCCAGACCCAGAACACCGTTGCATCGCCAACCTTCCCCGTCCAACGCAGTGTAGGCGAGGTCTCCGGCAAGGAGACAGGAGGCCAGAGGTTGAGCTGATGCGCAGCGTACCGGACCGCAAATGGCCACAGAAAATGGGGAGCAGCCGCATGGATCATGGAGGTACAAGCCGCCTCCATGACTAAGCCAATGCGGCGCTCAGCAACCCCATTTTGCTACGGAGAGGCCGGAAGCGTGAACGACTGGAGAATGCCCTCCCCACGACAAAAGTCCCGCAAGAGGTCGGAGGAGAACTCAACACCTCTTTCAAAGTGCAGACACAGGACAGGAAGGTCCTCTCCGAATCGCTCGCAGAGCTGGAGACGGACTGCGGGGATCCAAAGGATCAAGACATAAGGGACCTCACCCTTGCTGCGCAAGGGGAAGACTGTGGTGTAACGCGTATAGTCGTCAACAACCAGCAGGAAGTAGCGCTCGCGGTCCTGTCCACTTACGCGGGCTGGGCCCCACACGTCCATGTTGAGAGTCTGAAGGGGAGCTATCATCAGGGGAAACGAGAAGGAGTGAGGAGCGGCGCACTGCCGCTCCTCGGCGCTTCTGCTGCTTCCGGATGGCTCCGTCCAAATCGTTTGCTCGTCGCAGGCCAAGACTCTGTCTCCCTCCGCACACAGCCAGACTGGGAGTCAGACTCGCACCCTCACTGCGGTGAGGAACATGAAGAAGAGCACCAACCATGGCGCCCGAGACCCATCTCGCGTTGCGCCTTCGACGGACATGCATTCAATATCCGACAATTCAATGTATGGCAATTCAATGTTCAGCAAATCAATTCCCCGCACAACTAATCATGATGCGGGTCGGAGGGCCACTCGCGTGAGCGACGTGCTTCAGGATCACCCGGGCAGTCAGGTGGGCTCACTGACATCATCGCATGGCGGCTTCCTGCGCCCGCAGCATGTGTTAAAGCCTGGCCACGTGTACTTCCTCCAGCCGCCCCTAGCGCTCTCGGCTGTCCATGATCATGGGACCCCTTTTTCTGACCGTGGTGAGGATGAGAACTCTGCTGAAATTGAGACTGCTGCTGCACGCTCAGATGATTCACTCACCACGCTCTCCACGCTCTCAACACTCTCAGCATTCTCCGGTCCACTTTCAACGTTTTCAGCATCATCCGGTGCATTCTCTACGCTCTCAGAATTCTCTGGTCCACTCTCAACACCCACGATTCCTGTCCCATGTCCCCTCTCCATCCCTCCACCACACTCCCAGCGCTTGCTGTGGGAACGGTGGTCACCCTACTACTGCCTCTGCTACACACCCCCCTCACTCGCTAAAATACGCACACTCCCTCCCACCCTTCGCATCTGATGCTACGCATACTCCATCCCCATCCCCACTCCCCCCACCATCCCCATCTGCTGACTCACCATGCTGCTCTTCCCACCCGACCAGAGGCCACAGCCGCCCAGGTAAAAAGATCACCAACACTGTCTCAGAAAATCCAAGTCATATCAACCACGCCGCTGCCGCCACCACTGCTGTCCATGCATTCGCCCCTTCTGTCGCCCAAGAAAGCTGCTCTTCTCACCTGATGCACCGTGGCTGGTGCACAGCGAGTCGCGGTGCAAGCCTGGAGTCTTGGACTGGCAAGGCTGGCAAGTCTGGCAAGGCTGGCATGAACAGCAGCGCAGGTGCTGCGGGTGCTATGGAGAATTAGCAGGCCATTCTTGAAGCTCTGGAATCAGCCAGCAGCACTCCGGCCAGGAGATTCGGCAGCAGCAATGGCTGCGGTAACAGCAGCAGCAACACTAACAGCAACATCAGCAGTAACAGCAACATCAATAGCAGCACTAGCAGCAACAGCCAGCAGATGGGGCACCAGTTCGGTGGGTGCTATCCAGCGGATGAGGTACAAGAGAAGAGCCGCCAGGTACAGGTACGATTTTGTTACATAAGAATGGGACAAGGAGCAGCTTAACAACTACAGGCCCATTACCCTGCTGAATTTTACTTACAAGGTTTTAGCGCGGGTGATGGCGGACAGAATGAAGTCGGTTCTGCACCTGGTCATCTCGCCGGAGCAGTACGGCTTCATTCCGGGGAGGCGGCTGTCGGACGCGGTGGCGATGGTGGCCGATATCATAGACACGGCAAAGAACCACAATGAAGACTGGTATCTGCTTCTGGTGGATTTCCAGAAGGCGTTTGATTCGGTCTCGAGGGATTTTCTTTTCGAGGTGCTGGAGAAGATGGGGTTCCCGCAGCGGTTCGTGGGCTGGATCAAGGGCCTGCATCAGGACACAACGACGAAGTTGTTAATCAATGGTTGGCTTGGTCAAGGGGTGGACGTGGTGTCCGGGGTCAGGCAAGGTTGTCCCTTGGTGCTGTACCTTTTTCTGTGTGCACTGGAGCCGCTGGCCTTGGAGGTGGAGAAGCGTAAGCTGGGGCTGGAGAAGGAGGGTCACCGGCTGGGTTATCTTGGTTATGCGGACGACACTACTTTGGTCATGTAAGGAAGACAACAGATCGCAAAAGCTGAGGAAGTGCTGGACAAGTTTGAGAAGGCGGCGGGGCTTGCGACGAACAAGTCTAAGTCGTGTCAGAACATTATATAGCTTATGCTGTTGTGTAGGCTATAGTGGGGTATCCCATAAGGGGTACAACACAATTAGGGTTTCCCATATGTACTCACTTCATTCATAGTTCAAACATTCTCGTTCTTCCTTTCACATGGAATCAGAGCAGGTCCCCTCCTAGGGACTGCTTCTAGGGCCCACCGAAGCGCGCCCCGAGGCGCGTTTTCCTTTTTTTTAGCGACCCTCCGTGTCGCCCCTCGCGGCCCCGCCGCCCTCCCTTCGCGGCCCCGCCACTCTGCTCACGCGGCCCTGCCGCCCTTCCTTCGCGGCCTCGCCGCCCTACTAACGCGGCCCCGCCGCCCTTCCTTCGCGGCCCCGCCGCCCTGCTCGCGCGGCCCAGCCGCCCTCTGCTTCGCGGCCCCGCCGCCCTGCTCACGCGGCCCCGCCGCCCTCTGCTAAGCGGCCCCGCCGCCCTGCTGCAGCGGCCCAGCCGCCCTCACGTCGCAGCCCGCCCGCCCTCTGCTTCGCGGCCCCGCCGCCCTGCTCACGCGGCCCCGCCGCCCTCTGCTAAGCGGCCCCGCCGCCCCACTACAGCGGCCCCGCCGCCCTCACGTCGCGGCCCGCCCGCTGCCCTACCTGCGGCCCGCCAGCCGCCCTAAACGCGAAGGCCGGCAGCGTCGGGTTTGGCGTTGGACCAAAGCTCTGTAGGGGAGGAGGAAGGATGCTGAGGGTGTGGGTGCTGAGCCTGGGGGTGCTGCGACTGGGGGTGCTGAGCCTGGGGGTGCGGAGTCTGGGGGTGCTGAGCCAGGGGGTGCTGCGTCTGGAGCTGCTGAGCCTGGAGCTGCTGAGCCTGCGGCCACTGGACCTCCCCTTGTGCCGTCTGGCGGTGCGGGACCTGGCGTTTCTCCGGGTGCTTCGCCTCGGCGGGAGCCCCTCTCTCCACAGGAGCTGCGCGAGTGGTTTGCCAGGCGCTGGAGGCGTGCTGCTGGGACTGGAGGTTCTTCGGCTGCTGAGGGAGCTGGTGCCGCGGGTCCCGGAGGTGCTGGAGCTGGAGCTGCTGAGGGTGTTGGAGCTGAGGCTACTGCTGACGGTCCTGCTGGGGGTGCTACTGGTGCTGCTGGAGGTCCTGGAGCTGGAGGTGCTACTGGCGCTGGTGCTGCCGCTGGGGGTACTGGTGCTGTCCCTGCTGTGTCTGGAGTCGCCGCGCGGCCTAGGCCGTACTTCGTTCCGCTCCTTCAGCAGGTTCTTGGTCTCCCGCCTTCTACTGGTCCTCCTCCTCCCTTAGAGTGTCCACAGCCTGTCCTGTCACAGTTACAGTTACAGCCGGCCTCCCCACTGTCCGCTCCTTCTCCCTACACTGGTCCTACTGGAGGTCTTGCTGAGCGTCGTGAGCCTGCGTCTCGCCCTGCGTCGCCTGTCCGTGCTGCTCGCACTAGTGGTCGTGGTTCGCGTCAGCGTCCTCCTCCTGTCCCTGGCACGCACCGGATGTCTCTGCGTCCGTCCACTGCTCCTCTGCGTTCCCCTTTGCCTTCTCCTCCTGAGTCCTCTCTTCCTGCTCTTCCTGACCCGGAGTCGGACTCTCTTCGTGCTGCCAGTCCTGCTGTCACACGTCTCCTTGCTACTGTCGTCACTGACCCCTCTTTTGAGTCCACTGCTGCGTCTGCGCTTGTTGCTGAGCTTGTCGACTTTGCTGCTCGCTGTCGTCTAGACTACGCTGCCGGTCTTGTTGCTGAGTCTGCGTCTGTCTGTCCTCCGTCCGTCGGGGGTGAGTGTGCTCTTGGCACGGACATCCTTGAGGACAGGCAGGAGGAGTTCCGGTGTCTGGCTGCTGCTTCACCTCATCTCGCGTCCGTACTACTTGCCCCTGAGGGAGACCCGGATGCACTAGACATCCCGACTCCGCGCTCTTACGCGGAGGCCGTAGAGGGTCCCTACTCCTCTCAGTGGCAGGCAGCTATGGATGCAGAGATGGCGTCCTGGAAGTCCACAGGCACCTACGTTGACGCGGTTCCCCCTCCTGGGGCGAACATCGTCAGTGGCATGTGGATCTTCAGGGTGAAGCGGCCGCCGGGCTCTCCACCTGTCTTCAAGGCGCGGTACGTCGCTCGTGGCTTCAGTCAGCGGCAGGGAGTTGACTACTTTCAGACCTTCTCTCCCACCCCGAAGATGACCACTCTTCGGGTGCTGCTGCACATAGCCGCTCAGCGCGACTACGAGCTCCACTCTCTTGACTTCAGTACTGCTTTCTTGCAGGGTAGCCTGCACGAGGAGATCTGGCTGCGCCGTCCACCTGGCTTCACTGGGACTTTCCCTCCTGGCACCCAGTGGAGCCTCAGACGGCCAGTCTACGGTCTCCGCCAGGCACCGCGTGAGTGGCACGACACACTGAGGACTACGCTTGCGGCTCTTGGGTTTGCTCCCTCTACTGCTGACCCGTCGTTGTTTCTGCGCACCGACACTTCTCTGCCGCCGTTCTACGTCCTCGTGTACGTCGACGACTTGGTCTTTGCCACAGCTGACACGGCTGGACTAGCCTACGTGAAGTCCGAGCTGCAGAAGAGACACACGTGCACAGACCTGGGTGAACTGCGCAGCTACCTTGGCTTGCAGATCACTCGGGACAGAGCACGCCGCACCATTACCTTGACTCAGTCACACATGGTGCAGCAGGTCCTTCAGCGCTTCGGCTTCACGTACTCCTCGCCTCAGGCCACTCCTCTGTCTACTCGCCACTCGCTCTCAGCTCTGCCTTCGGATGAGTCCGTAGAGTCGAGTGGCCCGTACCCAGAGCTTGTTGGCTGCCTCATGTACCTGATGACCTGCACACGACCTGACCTTGCATACCCTCTTAGCATTCTTGCACGCTATGTTGCTCCTGGGAGACACCGACCAGAGCACATGGCTGCAGCGAAGAGGGTGTTGCGCTACTTGTGCAGTACGTCGGGCATGGGGCTAGTGCTTGGAGGGCGGAGTCCAGTGGTCCTCACTGGGCACGCGGACGCTTCTTGGGCTGACGACCAGGCTACGCAGCGGTCGTCGCAGGGTTACACCTTCAGTCTTGGTTCCGGCTCTGTCTCGTGGCGGGCTACTCGCTCGTCCTCTGTTCTCGGCTCCAGTTGTGAGGCTGAGATCTACGCCGGGGCCATGGCTGCACAGGAGCTTCGCTGGCTCACCTACCTGCTGACTGACCTTGGAGAGCCGCCTCGTTCTCCTCCAGTGCTGTACGTAGACAACAAGGCCATGCTGGCCTTGTGTCGAGAGCAGCGCTTGGAGCACAGAACGAAGCACATTGCTCTCCGTTACTTTCTTGCTCGTGAGCTGCAGCAGCGTGGTCAGTTGCGACTTGCTTACGTGGCCTCTGCGGCCAACACTGCTGATGTGTTCACCAAGGCACTTGCGCCTTGTGACCATCAGCGCTTCTGCACCCAGCTGGGTCTTGTACCTGTCTTGCCTCACTTGCTCTCTTCTTGACCTTACTTGTACTGTTACATATATATACCTGCTCTTGCTTGTCTAGCTCTATATATATATATATGTGTACTCCTGCATGTGAACTGGCCTTGTGGCCTTGTCGTAGTGCTCGGACTGTGTGGTGACTTTGTGATCCACCCTGAGCTTGCTCTGCTTTGCTTGACTGGTCTTGTGACCCCTTGTTCTCCCCCACTTTGCCTATGGGGGTGTGTCAGAACATTATATAGCTTATGCTGTTGTGTAGGCTATAGTGGGGTATCCCATAAGGGGTACAACACAATTAGGGTTTCCCATATGTACTCACTTCATTCATAGTTCAAACATTCTCGTTCTTCCTTTCACAAGTCGGTGGTCTTACCTTTGGGTGCCAATCTCAAGGCGTCTGGAGGTAGTACGAGTGTCTTCAAGTGGGCTGGTGCGGATGATGCAGAGCGCCTGCTGGGGGTCTGGGTGACGCCCTCTGGCAACGTCCTTCCGACATGGGAGAAGGCGAGGGGTCGGATTATGGAGAAGCTCACAAAGTGGCAGTTGAAATATTTGACTATATTGGCGTTGACAACAGTGGTAAACAACTACATCACCCCTCTTTTGGCGTTCCAGGCTCAGATGTACCCTCCGCCGGTGGAGATATGGGTGGAGATTTCACGTCTCCTGCATGGTTTCACATCGGGTAATAGGGTGGCGACGGCGAAGGGTTTCATTCTCTGGAGCAAAGATTTGCTCTTTACACCGAGGGCGGACGGTGGGATCGGGGTGAGGGATCCGGAAGTCGTTCTCAGCTGCCTGGCGGCAAAGAGGGTGGGTCTCTTCCTTACAAAAATTTGCCCGCTCAAAAAGGATATCATGGTGCGTGCGACGGGGCTCCTGCTGGGCGCTGGCTCGTTCATCGCTCACGAGAAGCTGCTCAAGCACTGGGGAGGAAGGAGTATCCGCTGGAAGCAGACAACGGATTTTTTTATGCGTTTGCCTTTCTGTTTTACAGCGCCGGTGATATGCAAGGAGGATGTGCAGCGGGAAAGATTTGTGTTTAACAAGTCGGTTCTTCTTAAGGGGACCATGCAGGTGGGTGGTCAAAAAGATGCGGCGGGCCTTTGGGATACTCGGTTCGGGGATCTGATGGAGGCGAAGGAGGACGGCACGATGGTTCCTAAGGCTATGGCGGTTTTGTCTCAGCAACTTGGTGGGAGTGGGCCTGCGAAGCTTGCGATGAGGGCCCTTCTAGCAACTCCGGTTCCCTGGCAAAGGTGCCTGGGTTTCCCGACGGTTCTCCCCTGCTTGGCTGGCTCGCCCTCCCTGCTGAACATTTTGGAAAACGGGCAGGTCATTTCCACGAAGCGGTTGAAGGAGGGGTGGAAAGGGACTCTATCAGAATGTTATAGTGCTTACATTTGTGTAGGCTATAGTGGGGTAGCCCATAAGGGGTACAACCCAATTAGGGTTAGTACTTGTACCCAACTCTTTCATAG